TCACTGCGGCGTCGACCCCTTCACAAACCGAAGATCGAGCCGGAACAGGGGCTCAAGCAGTGGGATCTCCCACTGCCCTGGATATTTTAGCAGGCAGTGGAGCAGCAGTCGCAGCAGAAGCTGCTGCGCGCCACAGTTCCAGGGAGTCGCCAAGGGATTCGGTGGCGACTGAGATCCTCGAGACTGAGGATGAGACGAGCTCGGAAGAGCAAGAAGAGGATTCGGTGCAGAAAACGCCAACAGGGGTGCTGTGCGAACAGATAGTTCCACTCCTGCGATATCTGGATCGCAAGACATCCAAATACGCAAGTGCCTTAAAACCGCAGTCTTATGTGGAGACAATCAGGCGAAGGACGAGGAGCAAGGTGGCAAGGTGGGCCTCTAGATGCGGAGTATATGTGGATAGGAACACCGCCCTCCGACAACACCTGGCGGTCACCCAGAAGCTGTACCAAGCCTTGCAGCAGCAGAAGGAGGATGCGGCGACGAAGAGTCAGGCGGAGGCCGAACTAATACGGGCAAAGATCGAGTCGGAACTGCAGGAGGAGCGGAGACAGAACGAAGTCCTAGCAGCCGAGCTTGCGCGCCAGACGCGCGCCTTAGAGGAAAGTCAAAGAGCCCGGAAGGAGGATGAGGAGTTGTTGTGCAACTTGCAAACCGAGTGCTCGGATTTGAGGACACAACGTGCGGATTTAGAAATGCAGCTGGCAGAGGTGGAGAGCAGCTGCAGGGCACGAGGAGAGTTGGCGGCACGGGTGACTCGTTGTCTAAACGGATACACCCATTGGGAGGTGGCAGCTCAAGAGAGGGTTACACTCCGGGAGTTCGAGCTTCGGGCGGCGGCATTGACGGAAGGTGACAGTCGGAGTCGGCGGCGAGTGGCAAGAAAATTAGAAACTTTCTTGTCGGGTGCGCGCGACACTATGGCGCACTTGCAGTCGGAAGTCACTGCAGCACTCCGACGCCTGGGGTTACGCAGCCGGTCGGAAGACTGGCAAGGTAGAGATAGTACGCGGAGCAGTCCGGCGCGCAGGAGGCGCAGCACCGGATCTGCTGAGTGCAGTAGAGTAGTTTGGTTTCGCGCAGATGCTGCGAGTGGTAGATAGGATAGCGTAGTGCTAGTTAGGATCTTTTGAGAGTATAAAGTAGATCAAGGCGTTTTGCCTTGGGACTCTTCCAGTTTCGGAAGTACAGATCAGGAACTCACTTTCTTGGCGTGTTTGTGCATTTTGGTCCTGGCACCACGTAGAGAAGCTGCAGCATAGCGAAGTTACCGTATGTTGTAGTTGAAGGCCTTCGGCTGAATGTTCAGAGCTAGTACCCGGTTAGAGACTTGAGTAGTGCGGATCTGCACCTGCGGGTGATTTCTGATACTCAGAGCCGGCTGCGAGTTAGATACTTGAACAGTTCCCCCTTACTCCTTCGAGTGACATATCCTGATTGTACTCCTACGGGAAGTTTCCCCTGAATGCCAATGTGAAGTTTCATTACTTCGTGTAAACCTTGGTTTGTAATTCAGGTTGTGTGTGTGTTACTGGATCGTGTTTTCAGTAAGTTCTCAGTCGGGTCTGCACTCCCTGCGTTTTGTGTGATAGTCGAGGGTGACGTCCACGGCGTACGTAGAGGCTTCGTTCCGAAGTGAGAAGTCCAGTCCGGGTACCCCCGCTAGTTCCTGGCGGAAGGGCAGTAAAAGCCGGAGTGGGAGGCACTTCCTGCAGAACCTCTGAGCGAACTTACGAGACACTTTCCTCCTGAAATCCGAAGCGGAGGTCCTGACCGACCTCCGAGTTGTGCTTTTTGCCAGTTTCAGGTGTGTGTGTGTGTGTGTTGAGTGACCAAGCTGTACCGTGCATCCTCCGAGCATCCTCCGAGTTGAGTTCCTCCTCCGAGTCGAGCCTCCGAGTCGAGCACTACAGTATTTCTGGGAGTGACAGTCGCCTAGAATTCAAACTCTACCAAAAGTCTGTTAAACGTGACACTTTTACTCTGTGTGTTGCCTCTGTCCCTGTGGGTTCGATCTTTTTACCACCATACTGCAGTTTTAGCCTTTGGTGGGTTATTACAAGCGTGCGGAGGCCGAATCGCAGTTGGTGGTAATTGAAGATGATCGCAGGCGAGAGGCAGATCGCACGAAGGAGGAGATGGCGAGGCGTGTCGCCCACTGTCTCAAGGGCTACGCCCACTGGGAAGTGGCGGCGCAGGAAAAACTCACACTGCGTGAGTTAGAGCTTCGTGCAGCCGGGTTGTTGACAGGTGACAGTAGGAGTCGGCGGAAGGTGGCGAAGAAGTTAGACACTTTTCTGTCGAAGGCGCGGGATACCATGTCCACCCTCAAGGTGGAGGTGTCCACGGCGTTGCAGCGTTTGGGACTGCGCAGTCGAGCAGAAGATTGGCAGGGTAGGGAGTTAGTGCGCGGCAGTCCGTCGCGCAGGAGGCGAAGCACAGGGTCTGCGGAGTGTAGTGTAGCGTGGTTCCGTGCAGGCGTGTAGCGTAGTGCAGTGTAGTGCTAGTTAGGATTTAGAAGGTATAAAGTAGTTCAAGGCGTTTTGCCTTGGGATCTTTCCCAACATCAGAAGTGCAGATCAGGAACTCATTTTCTCTGCGTGTTTTGTGTCCTTAGTTCTGTCACCACGCACGAGGAGCTACACCTTAGCGATCCGCATTGTGTAGCTGAAGGCCTTCGGCCGAATGTTCAGAGCTAGTACATTGGTAAGAGACTTGAGTAGTTCGGATCTACACCTGCGGGTGATTGCCGATGCTCAGAGCCAGTGACTAGTTAGATACTTGAATAGTTTCGCCCCTACACCTTCGAGTGTTTGTTCCGGATTGTACTCCTTCGGGATTTTTCCCCTGAATGCCAAAGTGAAGTTTTGCTACTTCGTGTAAGCCTTGGTTGTAAATTCAGGTTACGCTGCAGCAGGTGCCTTGGGGTAACCCCTGTAGTATTTTTGGGAATGACAAGTGCCTGAGAATTCAAACTCTTCAATAGACTGTTATCGTGTGTTACTGGAATGTTTCTCAGTGAGTCCTTCAGTGCGGACCTGTGTTCTCTACGCGTTCTGTGAGTTGAGAGTGTTGTTCACCGCGTATGAGTGACTTCGATCCGAAGTATGCAGTCCAAACCGGGTTTCCTACGCTAGCAGCAAGCTAGTGGAAGTGTTGTAAAAGCCGGAGTTGGGAGTCACTACCCGCAGCTTCGCTGAGTGTACTCTTGAGAGATCTTTCCCCTGAAATCTTGAGTAGAGGTCCTAACGGATCTCTGGGTTGTGTTTATGTAGTTTCAGGTGTGTGTGTGTGTGTGTGTGTGTTACGCTGCACTGTGCGACCTCCGAGTGCGCTCCGAGTGGACACTTGCAGTATTTCTGGGAGTGACAGTCGCCTGAGAATTCAAACTCCTCAATAGTCTGTTAAACGTGACACTTTGTACCGTGTGTGTTCCTCTGTCCCTATGGGTTCGACCTTTCTACCACTATATTGCAGTTTTAGCCTTTAGTGGGTTATTACAAGGATTCAGATCCCAACATACAGGAAAACTCAAGAATCAATAGCAATGAACCACGAAGCAGAAGACTGCTAAATGCTCGAACTCAGTGCAGAGCACTACAAGTGATGGGAATCAAAAATAATGGTGGGATCGTGGATTCTGGCGAAATCTCAGAGAGTGTGCAAAGGGGACCTCACGTCTTCGGGCAACGCAAACCTATTGTGAACTCAAGCAAAGAAACGTCTTTGATGCTCTGGTTGCCAAACTCAAATTGAGTGGAAAAGCTGATAGCTATGAACGTGAATCTGATATCTTTGAAAGTTATGCTTTGAGTCTTTTTGGCAATTTTTGTAAATTTTTGCGTTCAAGTTATGAAGCGGGGGCAGAGTCAGAGTTTATGGCCAGGTGGTGGGATATTTGAAGCAGAGCTCCAAGGAGTAGAGATCTCATACTCTGAGATTTGAGGTTGATGCCGGGCATCGTACAGAAGATTCTCTTGCCTCAATGGGGCTTGCCTCGCTGCAAGGACGCAGAACAGCTGAATCCTTATCTATTCAAAGAACCGCCAAGCATCCGTTATTTTTTTTTCGGGTGTTTCTCCAAAAGCCATTTCGAGATTGAACGTGTGGAGGGCAAGCAACCTTTCCAGATTTTCAAGAAGCAGAACTTCCGCTGTCGTGAGTCAGGGCAGTATAGTCCGCAGGCAAACTACAGAATCTTAGGGTGGTTTGACTGTGAAAGGATCAAGTGGCATTCGTGAAAGTCTTGGACATTATTGGAATTCTTATTTTGAGTTCTCAAAATTACGTCTCAATTCGTTCGTGGTGTTATCGACAGCTGTTGGATTTTGGATGTTTAGTCGTGACATTGTGGTTTATCGGGTTTTTGTTTCATAAGAACTCAAGGCTCCAGCCAGCTTCAAATGTCGTGAAAGACGGGAGGAATGAAGGGAGAAGGAAGTAGTGGGTATGAATAAGTAAAGTTGTCCGTGTGTTAGCAGGCAGAGGGGAATAGAATACCGGGGTTACGTTAACACTTGATGTGAGAATTGGAAAACTGCAGCGTCAACAGCTCCTGTTCTATGGAGTAGACTTCTTCAATCTTCATCCACAACCCAGCCCCACTCCACCTCAACCCAACCGAGCAAGCTGAAGGAGCCACGGTGGCGAGTTGTCAACTACTGACAGCTGCACATAGTGACTGAATAAATGAACGAGAGGAGAGCTGGATGGAGTTTGAGCATCCGGTGCGAGGCAGTGGGAGCCTGAGAACGTGACAGTAGAAGTTGAAAAGTCGGCAAGCTTCTTCAATCCACGAGACCTTCTTCTGCTTTAGCAGGGCCTGCATGAGCCTGCCTGTGGTTGACTTGGCACTGTCTCGCACTTGATGACACGACTCGCACACGAGCACTTCTGAAATCCAATGGAGACACAAGCCTAGTGGCAGGCCACCGGGCCCACCGTGAAGTAGGCTGCAACACGCCAAGACAAGTCCCGGAATAAAGAAAGCTTTATTCCGGGACTTATCAGCAGCCGGTGTAGAGAGCTTTTAGGGGCTAGATTGAAATTACGTCATACTCTCACATGGGCAGATACCGATTGGGAGCAGTGGCTTGCAATATGTATATAAAGACGCTTCATCCTTAACTTTCCTTCAAGCTTTTGATCTCCAGACACCTCAAGTTCTTCATTCAGCTCCAACATCTGCACGTCTTTCCCCGTTCTCATCTTTGCCCCTTGTTCTCTCTTTTTTTATAACACCATGGCTCTAGCTCCTGGACTCATCCGGGCCGCCTTTGGCGGGGTAAAGGATATTGGCACCATTGTTGGCACCTTCGATTGGAGCAAGGTAAGCTCTATTTGTCAACCTTGTCTCTTTGTCTGGCACCATTTGGATATATTTACTTACCATTTGCTTCTTATTTTATAGTGCAATGTTCGAGATTCGCACAGTGATGAGTACCTTCACACGGACCTTGCTCCATCTTACGGCAAGCTTAACAATGATTCAGTCAAGGCTTTGGACGAAAAGCTTAAAATCATGATCGCTGGCACCTTGATCGCCATTGGAAAGCTCACCGACAAAAGCTGGAAGTCCATCTTGGAAACTATGATGCAGCATCCGCTTCTCGAGCCCGACAGCGCTCAGATTGACCGGGCCGATAAGCTGATCAAAACAAGCTCGAGCGCCTTCAAATTCGACGGTAGCCCGGATGCGCAGATTGTCCGTGAGGTCAAGACGTGGTTTACTAAGCTCATCGCGGACGCCGATGTGCTCCAGCAAACCAGGATTGACATCGATACTCTTGCCAAGATCGTTGCGCAAAGTGGTGCCACGATTGACTCCTTTGAGAGCTTCTGGGCCAAGCAGGAGAAGCACGAGCAGACTCTAGTGGACATTGGTGTTCTCCGGTTTCCCGACTTCGAACGCCCTTATTTCAAGGTAATCCATACCTGGATAGATGCCATTGCAGATGGTTGTTAATCCGTCATTCCAAAAGCTGCCTTGCAGTGTGTAATGGATCGGACTAACATTGACCTGGCTTTCCACAGCTTTACCATATTAAGCTCACAGCTTGGTCCGACTCCTCCCGCGTCCTCTTCCTTCAGGATGACAAAAACGGTATCACTGGAGGTGAGTAACTAGCTACCTTTGCATTGTATTTTGAAGACGTTGATATGAGAATAGTTTCTGGCTCAAGCGTGAAATCGTACTGACATCTCCATTTCTCTTATCAGAATTCAACAGCAGGATCTTCCGCCCTCGCGAAAGCATCATTCGGGAACTGACTAAGGATTCTCGTGAGGCCGCGCTTAGGAGGGCCGAAAGCTTGTTTGACTAACTTGAGATTTGCTTTGAGACTTTCAGTAGGTCAACAATTTGCTTGCTTGTCTTTCTATAAAGTCTTGAGCTCGCCACTCCGTTATTGCTGGCCTGACGGTTTGTTTTTACAATCTCAGCATCCGCAGCTTGATGTTATTATCTTACTCTAGGATATGAAAATGTTCATATGAAAACGCTATTGAATAGGGTGGAAATCCACAAATTTTGCAAATCTTTTGATGAGCTCGTCCATTATTGAGTTAGCCCAAGTCAAAGACCTGGATTTGGCTTTATACTTGTGTGAACTCACAACAAGAACTTGTGGACGATTATTTCTTGTGACCCTCGTGCTGGATGTCATGAAACTGAACCAATCTTTTAACTCTGTCCGAAAACAAAAGTCTATACTACAAGATACCAAATTGAAATTTAACTTTTTTCATTGTTTTGCAAGACTTCCACCTCAATGCCTTTCCTTCTCCATAACTCGTCCCATTTGTTTCCCAGCCAACTTTTGCCTTGAACTATCCTCATCAAGGTTTGTCTCAATTAAGTCTTGCCTGAAAAATTGAAGGAAAGAGAATCACAACTTCCGCATCTAAATTCCATTTCAAAGCAAAAACGATAATTTGATCGGAGCTATACCTGAATCCTCTCAAGACTACTTCCCACTCGCTAGCGGTTAACGTCCATATATCTCCGCCACAACAGTAGTATAAATCCAGACACTTAAGGGTGTTGCAATTGCCGATTGACTCCAGCACTCGAAGGCGCACTTGGCTTTCCCACCTTATGATCGTCGAAAAGGGGAATTTCGGAAAGAATTCCCGAAATTCTGGCTCGCGTAATTGGAAAAGACTCGTTATAGGCTCGCCTTCTCCTTCCAGACGCCGTATAAAGTCCTGGACAATGGAGGGAAGCTCCGGTTCCTCGTCTGCAGAGTCCATTGCCCGTGTCTCAGCCGCGTGACTGACTATGGACGTACCTGCAACTTCCATTCTCTCCTCCACTCGCACAGAGGAAGGAAGCCCCTTCCACGATAGGCAGGCCCGGCTCACCAGAATAAAACTGAAGCTCCTGTCGTCGCAGTGTCACCACTAGTGCGTGCTGGGCATAATGTGATGAATCCGGCTGCCAGAGGGAGACCAGTATGACAAAAGGACAGAAAATATATCCAGAAGTAATTTATCCTCTGAAACAGCTTGCTTACTTGTGGTCCTGCGCGTTGACATAGACATTTTGCTCTTAGGCGCTAAATGTCATTTAAGATGTATCGACATTGATAAAGCACATGGCGAGACTTCAATGAAGTTGGAGGTTAATTTGGTCGCTAGTTTCCTTATGTCCAGTATATGGTAGTTGCACAGGCCGTACTGCAATTGCTGCAAAAGAAGGGATCGTCGTTCAGGATGTTGGATGAAATTCAGAGTCTGGAGGTGATAGGAGGAGCAGTGCGAGAATAGTGAATCAGATCTATCGAGAAGAGATGCTGGGCATAAGGCTTCTTGCACTCTGCATGAGAAGTGACGTAAAGATTAATCCAAGCTCTTCACATAGTGTACAGGAATACGCAGGATTCAATAGCAATGAACCACGAAAACAGAATACTGGTAAGTGCTCAAACTCAGGTCATAGCACTACAAGCAATGTGAATCAAAAATAATGGTGGGAATCCGGATTCTGGCGAAATCTCAGATAGTGTGCAAAGGGACCTCACGTCTTCGGGGAACGCAAACCTATTTTGAACTCAAACAAAGAGAAGTGTTTGATGCTCTGGTGACCAAACTCAACTTGAGTGGAAAAGTTGATAGCTATGAAGGTGAATCTGAAATATAAAAAAATGGTTAAATCAAAGATGGTGCGATGTGTACGCAGAATGTCATGGAATGCATGGAAGAGCAGATATGTGATATACTCTAAGTTGTGTTAAACTGGATGTACATCTGGAATAGGAGAATGCGAATCTAGCTGCATCAAGACCCACGGGAAGACATACCTTACGATGGGAGTGGAAAATGAATGCAGCGTCTTCAATCAGATTTGGACATTGAATCGTGTGAGCGATTGAGGTATCGACAACATACGAACACAACAAGCGTGTTCCTCCAGACTCGGTGTGATTGGAAAATGATCTTAGAAGGTCAGAGTAAATCTTGACTTTGTTGTGCAAGCGAACAGGATTATTGAGTGAATGCATCAGTGTGCTGATGCACTCGATGTCGTCACGCTGACCTCGGAGATTTCAATAGTCATCTTCATTGACTCCTCTTTCTGAAATCTTCTATCTATTCAAGCAAGTGGATGTATTCTGACAGCTGAGAGGCACATGGGTTGTCAGCTCGGAGGACAAAGCCTGTTGTGCTTTTTCTTTCTTTGAAGACTTGTACAGTGGTCTACATTTCTCTACATAACTCGTAGGTTCAGAACAAACTGATCAACTTTTTGGAAGTCTACCAAACATAATATCGAAGAACTGCGTATAAAGTATACGAATACTCGGGGTTTTCAATTGCTGGTATGATTGTTCTTCTACCTCAACTGTCTAACAGTGGACGGTTCTCACAGGACAGTGTCGAGGTCTTTCGACCTCAAACATTAAACTGAAATCAGATTTCGCCCGAGCTAAGAGCACTCCTGTTTGTTTATCACGTCGTATAGAACACGATAGAACCAGCATGATACTTGCTCATTTTAACAGTCGCTGTGTTACCAGAAAATGCTGAAATGACTTTCTCCAGCTGATGAATCATCCATGGTTAATCTACAGGGGCAAGAAGAAATAGTACAGCAAACACCAAGTGTTGTATGACAACTATGCGCATGCGTGAGGACAGATGCTCCAGGATACGGATTGATAAGACTAGGAAAGCTGCCTGTGGAACGAGGGTCAGTGTCACAAACCTTTCTACAACATTGACCCTTCAGTCTTTATGAGGAAACCAGAATATGGGCACTTTCTTGAAAACCACTATGCGGACATGAACATGAAATCGAGAGTTGGATTCGGAGATGGAGATCTGTGAGAGTGAGCTGTCGATAATCCATCACTGAAGAAGTCATGGTTCTCTGCCACCAATCTCCCTTTGCAACTTGATCATTTTGCTACGTCCACTGCTGGACAGCCATGGTATGCGTAAGAAGTTCAGAATTGATCTTTCATCATCCCATTTCGAGGGAAGAACAGTCCTTCGACGTATGTATCATTCTCAAGACATGCTGTGTTCTGCCAACACTTATCATCTAGCTCAGTAGGTTGGACGGCCTTGTACCACAACGGCGTGATGGAAGTACCCAATCTCCAAACTTTTGAGTACTTCATTTCAGGCTGACCTCTTTGTTTAAACCTGATATCCGGACTGTATTGGGGTAAGAACCTCACGAACACGTTGTAGTTCAGCAGGACAACTAGAAGGGGCAGCCAAAATAGGTGGGAATGGATCGAAGATATGAATCTACTCAAAGAGAGATCACGAATTTACTCGTAATATTTTCAGCGCATTTGATTTAATATTTTCAGCACTTCGAACAGCAGATCATGAACCGGAATTTATCTTAGTTACAAAATGTTCAAATTGAAGTTCAGGCACATAATGCTGATCATCTAGCCTCGGCTACGAGAAGGTAAGAAATAAACTCCCATTATATTGATAAAATTTGTCGAATCTGCGCGCGATTGAAGAATTTCACATCAGACAATGAAGAAAAATGTACAGTTTCTTGGTTTGCCCCGACGCGGAACTGTTTGACGTTGCCAGCAGATTCTTCGCAGAATGATGAACAATTTATGTGTCATTGTACTCACCAGCTCGGTATATGTTCTTCCTCATGGATTGGTAAGCTTACAAACCTGCACTCTCTCAGATCTACCCTTTCGTGGTATCCGAACTCAGATATTCATGGATAGCAGGGCTCTGCCAGATTTGTAAGCAAATGAACTCTGCTCAGGCTGGTGGGAAGGGGATTGGATAAAATTGACATTCATTCGTGAGCAGCACCTCGGAAATCGAAAGGCCAAGGTACGTATCACGGTTTGATTCAGAAACACCACCTTGGACATGCTCCATATCAAGATGATTTCAGATGCAATTGGTCAAGACATCGACACAAATACGATACATGATAATGTTGTGTAATAACCCACCAAAGGCTAAAACTGCAGTATGGTGGTGAAAAGATCGAACCCACAGGGACAGAGGCAACACACATAGTAAAAGTGTCACGTTTAACAGACTTTTGTAGAGTTTGAATTCTAGGCGACTGTCACTCCCAGAAATACTGCAGTGCTCGACTCGGAGGCTCGACTCGGAGGAGTATCTCGACTCGGAGGATGCTTGGAGGATGCACGGTACAGCGTGGTCACTCAACACACACACACACACACCTGAAACTGGCAAAAAGCACAACTCGGAGGTCGGTCAGGACCTCCGCTTCGGATTTCAGGAGGAAAGTGTCTCAAAAGTTCACTCAGAGGTTCTGCAGGTAGTGCCTCCCACTCCGGCTTTTACTGCCCTCCCGCCAGGAACTAGCGTAGGGTACCCGGACTGGACTTCCCACTTCGGAACGAAGCCTCTTCATACGCCGTGGACGTCACCCTCGACTATCACACCAAACGCAGGGAGTGCAGACCCGACTGAGAACTTAACTGAGACACGATCCAGTAACACACACACAACCTGAATTACAAACCAAGGTTTACACGAAGTAATAAAACTTCACATTGGCATTCAGGGGAAACTTCCCGTAGGAGTACAATCAGGATATGTCACTCGAAGGAGTAAGGGGGAACTGTTCAAGTATCTAACTCGCAGCCGGCTCTGAGCATCAGAAATCACCCGCAGGTGCAGATCCGCACTACTCAAGTCTCTAACCGGGTGCTAGCTCTGAACATTCAGCCGAAGGCCTTCAACTACAACATACGGTAACTTCGCTATGCTGCAGCTTCTCTACGTGGTGCCAGGACCAAAATGCACAAACACGCCAAGAAAGTGAGTTCCTGATCTGCACTTCCGAAACAGGAAGAGTACCAAGGCAAAACGCCTTGATCTACTTTATACCCACAAAGATCCTAACTAGCACTACGCTATCCTCTCTACTACTCGCAGCATCTGCGCGAAACCAAACTATTCTACTGCACTCGGCTGATCCGGTGCTGCGCCTCCTGCGCGCCGGACTGCTCCGCTCGCTGTCTCTACCTTGCCAGTCTTCCGACCGGCTGCGCAACCCCAGGCGTCGGAGCGCTGTAGTGACTTCCGACTCTAAGTGCGCCATAGTGTCGCGCGC